TCCCGTGTGCTGGGATTAAAGGTGTGTGCCGCCGCCGCCACCACCGCTGCCGCCGCCACTGCCGCCTGGCCAACTTCGTTATATTTTTTAAAAATGAATGAATGAATGAATAAAAGAAAACGTAGCCACCAGGGTAAAGGTTAACAACTGAACCATCAACTTACACCTGCTGGGAGAGGGAAAACCAGTTTTCTCCTATGGAGTGGCACTGGGTATATCAGCCACTCCAGGACAGGCCTCATGTTCGGGAGTAGTTGATCAATATACAATGGAGTCCACAGTCTTTTTGTGTGTGCTCTTTTATTTGGTTACAGTTTGGTGAGGTTTTTTGTTGTTTTGTGTGTGTGTGTGTGTGTGTTGTTTCCTTGGTTTGGGGGGGTTTATTGCATTACTTTTTGTTTGTTGAGAAAGAACTTAAAGTTGGGAGGGTAGGGAGGAGGAGAGGATTGGAAGGACTGGGGGACAACAATATGATCAAGATATATTTAAAGTTAAAATTGTTTTAAATAATAAAAATATAATAAAAAGATTTATTTTTATTCAGTGTATGTATATGTACACATAGACCATGGCAAACATGTAGAAGTCAGAGGACAGCTTTTCTGGAATTTATTCTATTCACCTTGTTTGAAAGACATTTTTAAAACCGTGTGCGTTTTACCTGCATGTAAGTGCACCATGTGCATGCCTGGTGCCCAAGGAGGCCGGAGGAGAGTCCAAATCCCCAGAACTGTTAGAAATAGCTGTGAGCGTCAGGGCAGTGGTGGCGCAGGCCTTTAATCCCAACACTTGGGAGGCAGAGGCAGGAGGATCTCTGTGAGTTTGAGGCCAGCCTGGTCTACAGAGTGAGTTCCAGGACAGCCAAGACAGCCAAGGATACACAGAGAAAGCCTATCTGGAGAAAAAGAAAGAAAGAAAGAAAGAAAGAAAGAAAGAAAGAAAGAAAGAAAGAAAGAAAGAAAGAAAGAAAGAAAGAAAGAAAGAGAGAGAGAGAGAAAGAAAGAAAGAGAGAAAAAGAAAAGAAAAGAAATGGCTGTGGGCTGCCACATAGGTGCTGGGAATTGAATTCGGGTTTCTGTAAGGGCAGCAAGTGCCCTCAACCGCTGGACTCCTCCACCTTGCTTTTAAGGCAGCCTCTTTCCTGTTCTTTCTGCCACTGAGCTGTGAACCCGGGCTTCCCATGCACCGCTGGTCCTCCTGGCTCATCCTCCCACCTTGCCTCAGGAGTGATGGGGCTGGCATTACAGATGCAGCTTCTGTTTGTGGGTCCCAGAGTCAAATCCAGGCTTTCAGGGCTGTACAGCGAGTGCTTTACCTGTGGGGTCATCTTGCCCACCCTTTAAAAGTTATTTTTGAGTCCTGGAACTTTCAGTGTGAACAGATAAAATGATTTGAAATAAACCACTGACTTGTAAATGAGTCTTGTCTTTAAAACTAGGTTGTCAATCGTCTGGAGAGCAGGAAGGTAGTATTTCTCAAAAGTATTTATACACTTATGTCATGGTTTGGACCTGAAAAGCAATCTTCAGAGGCAGGCTTTGGGGAAGTGACTGAATCATGAGGGCTCTGACTTGTCAATGGATTATCCCATTAATAGGTTCATTGTTTAATGGGGTATTGAGAAGTAGTAGAAACTTAGGAAGTAAAGGTGGGTGGGAGGGGTCAGGGGATAAAGGCATTTGCCACTAAGCCTAATGACCTATGTTCCATCCCTGGAACCCACATGGTGGAAGGAGAGGCCCAATTCTTGAAAGTTGTCCTCTGACCTCCACATACGTGCTATGACACATGTGTGCCTACACGTGCGCGCGCGCGCACACACACACACACACACACACACACACACACACACACTAAATAAATGTGTAAAGATTGTTTAACTTAGAAGATGGAATCTAGTTAAAGAAGTGGGTCCTTGGGATGAATTTTGGGGGATATAGCTTGTCTTTCTGCTCCCTCATTCTTTACTTTCTGGCTTTCATGAGTGGAGCTCTTCTTGCTACCTGCTTCCATTCCCATAGACCCAGAATGATGGGGCCAAGTGACCGTGTACTGAAACCATGGGTCTAAATAAATCTTTCCTCCCCTGGGCCCACGGAGAATCTAGTAATCTAGCCTTGGGGGGGGGGTCTTTTCAGATCCAAACCATAACACAAGTGAGAAACACATTTGAGAAATACTATCTTCCTGCTCTCCAGATGACTGACAATCTAGAATTTTGTCATAAAGATGGGAAGATACCTAACACACCCTGGAACTACTCAACTTGGAAATAAGTGTTCATCACACCAGTAAGGAGGAAGACTGGATGCTGGGGGAAATATGAAATAGACTCTTCACAGATTTGGTATATAAAGATTTTTATAAGGCCATTCTTGCTGGATTTTCAGAAATCCTGAGTGTTACAGAAATGTCACAATATCCATGGGGATCAAGCAGGTAATGCAAATGCATAAACTAATGGCAGAATACAAGAGTTATTGGCCCTAGAAATGACCTGCAAAACACTTGCCCTGTTTCTTAGATTTTTCTATTTTTTTAGACTTATTTATTTATTTATTTATTTATTACTCATTATTTATTCATTATGTATACAGTGTTCTGCCTGCATGTATGCCTGCATGCCAGAAGAAGGCACCAGATCTCATTACAGATGGTTGTGAGCTACCATGTGGTTGCTGGGAATTGAACTCAGGACCTCTGGAAGAGCAGACAGTGTTCTTAATTACTGAGCCATCTCTCCAGCTGTTTCTTAGATTTTTTTTAAACTCACATATAATAAGCAAAATTCCTATAAGAATATACAACAACAGAGCCGGGTAGTGGAGGTGCACGCCTTTATTCCCAGCACTTGGGAGGCAGAGGTAGATCGATCTCTGTGAGTCTGAGGCCAGCCTGGTCTACAGAGTGAGATCCAGGACAGGCACCAAAACTGCACAGAGAAATCTTGTCTCGAAAAAAAAAAAAAAAAGAAAAGAATATACAGCAACAACTAGCAGCTCTTTTATTATTCAGGCTGGTGGTGGCCAACTAGCTTCTCTGTGCAGGCACTATTTGCCCTGAGCAGGCAGGATGTGACATGGATAGAAAGACCTCCATATACTCAAAGCCTTGGACAGAGCTCCACAAGAAAGCTGCGTCAGTGAGCCTCCATGGAGAGCAGTGTTTACATCTCTTTCCGCTCCAATGGGAAGCTTTTCCTCCTTGCTCTCACAGTGAGTACCGTTTAAAGATAGTGCTGCCTTTGTGAGGGGATCACCGCCTGGGCCTTTAGTTTAAATATGCTATTTATCAAATCGGAGTGCAGCACCTAAGGACTGACTTATTTGAGGACCCCGTACTTACACTGGATGTGAACAGTGACCTAGTAGCTCTAGTGACATATTATTGGCTTGAAGTCTGATTCTCGTTCCCTTCCCTCAAGCAGAATTAAGAATTCTGATGTTGAAAACTTGCACAGATTTGTGTGGAACAAAGCCTAGGGAGAAACAAATGAAAACTGTAGATTGGGTAGATCTCAGTGTGTTTGGGGGGCGTGGATTTGGTGTCATAATTTCCTTTAGTTGGTGTTGTGCTTCAAATGCATTTCAGTACTACAATGCAAGTTTCAATAAAAGTTTGCTTAATTTTAAAAAAAAGAGGTGTGGCCACCTTAGCGTTCCCGCCACACCAGCCCTTCTTGAATCTCTGATATCTGATTATCCCTTCAGTGAAATATCAAAGATCTTCGTTTCTGACCCTTAACTAGGTTCTCTCCCTGAGCCCCTGTGTGCTTCTCAGACACATTTCCAGGTAAGGAAGGAGAGTTCAGAAGTTCCTCTGTCCCAGCCACTCTTCCTGCGACATGCCTGGTGTGCCAAAATACTCAGGTTTTTGAGGAGGACTAACTTATAAGTAGACAAGCCTAAGAATAGTTTAGCAAGTGGGGCAGTGATGGTGCATGCCTTTGATCCCAGCACTCAGGAGGCAGAGACGGGCAGATTTTTGTGAGTTCGAGGCCAGCCTGGGCTACAGAGTGAGTTCCAGGACAGCCAGGACTACACAGAGAAACCTTGTCTCATTAAAAAAAAGAAAAAAAAAGCAAAAAAAAAAAAAAAAAAAAAAAAGAACAGCTTAGCAGCCTAGGACTCCACTAGGCTTGGACTATGTACACATCCCTCTAATAGTGCGTCTGGACTATGCACACTGATATGGCTTGAATTAATCTGGGGTGCACGTGTGACAAGGTGAAAGTACGTACTCTGAGTGAACTTTTAGGGAGCATCCCCCATTCACCATCTTATGCCTGTGCACAAGGACTATGTCTGCACATAATGATTGAGTCCAAATATGGTTAAGATCAAATGCAGTATGGGAAAGGGCATGCACAGTAGCACAGAGGTTATATAACTGTCAATCAAGACAAGAGTCACCCTGCAATCAATCTCTTCCTTCTCTTAAATTCCATAAAAGGAAGTGCCAAACAGTAGCTGGGGACCTTGTGGCCCTTTCCTCGTGTGCCCACTGTCACTATTCCAATGGCATTCTTTCTTTCTGATCTATACCATCACTTGGCTTTGAATAAAATTCCTACTTTGCAAGTCTGTGTGTGCTCATCTCAATGAATAATATGTCAAGAACCTGGCAGTGCCAAGCCCAGACTCTGGCCACCGGTAGCAACCACACAGTTGTGAAGAAAGGAGCCAAGCCAGCAGGCTGGTGTGTCAGTGGTGAGTGCAAAGTGACAATGAGGACCAGGCACACTTTGTGAATGTGACATATTCAGATCCAGGGTACACAACGTATAAGATGACTGCATACCCTCTTCTACAGACCAAATGACCACATACATGAGCTTCTCCTATGGAACTGAGGGCTTTGTGATGCAGTCTGGTGGCCCGGTTCCATCCTCTGTGAGGTAGACATGACAAGGCTCAGCCCTGGGAGATATTAGGCGCTAGGACTCTGAATGTCCTAGGAATAGGGATGGCTGGTCTCCTCGTGCTGATGAGGTTTGGACCATGTTGAGCTCTAGCTACTTTCTGTGGGATACTGAATACTCCTTATATGCCTATTTCTACATTTTCATCATTATCCTAATTATCTGGCAAGTGCAACAGAATTACCACAGATTGAAGTGCGAACATACAAGGAGCTGTTGTCGGGTAGGGAAACCCTGACCACGACTGAGATAGCTGAGAAGTTCCAGTGTCTGCCCACCTTCTACTTAGGACCTCGCTACCCCTATCTGACAGTTGGGATGTGATACTTTCAAGAGTATAATACCTTTCTTCTGTGAGGCTGGAAGCCTTCCCTTACCAAGACTTTCATGAGTGATGAGCCCAAAATCTTTCTATTGGTTTAAATAGAAGACTATCATTATTTCAAATCTCCCAGTACAGGAGAATTTCCCAGTCCAATTTGTTATGTCATTTATACGTAGAAGGTCTTTTATGTAAGAACACATCCTGTAATGGGTCTATTGTTTTATCCACGGTTCCCAGTAGAACTTCACTCAGTAGTTGGTTAGGAAATAGAGTTCAGATCAGTTTCCATGAGAACCAGAAGGATGCAGAGACGGGAGGTCAGGGTGAAGCGGGGTAAGGACAGCAAGGGGCACCATAGGAGAGTGCCAAAAGGGCACATGGGTAATTGAAAGGAAAAATGAAACGTGTGTAATCCTTGTCATGTTACAGACATGGAAAAGGAAACAGTTTCAGCTTCACACTGTAATATTTTTTCTTTTTAAGCGTCACCGAAAAGTCAGGCAGAGAGCTAGAGATGCGGCATCAAGAGGTAAAGTCCCAGTGTCCCCCGACTCCCCGCCCCCGGGAGAACTCCCACGTTCCTCTTCTCTATGACCCTGCCCAGTGCCAAGTGCTCTAACTTCTGAGGCTCCAGAGCCACTAACCGGTGACATTTTCAAAGGACTGCTCTGGATGGGAAATCAGAAAGTAAGAATGTTTAAAAAAATTTCTCTGTCTTACTCTCCTGACAACAGAGAACTGAAGAATTAAGATGTCCTTAACAGTCATTTACTAGAATTCATTTCACCTATAGGTCTATCAATAAAATAAGCATAGCATTAACTGCCCCTCCGGGGACAGTGCACTGGAAATGGGAATGCTGTATCCAAACACGCCGTAGAGCGCTAGCTCTAGGGCCTCAGATTCCTCTTGCTGAGCTAAAGACATGCTATTCAGATTCCTATGAGACACCCTTGAAATGCTCATTCGCCACATAACACTGTGTCCTGATTCCACAGCCAGGAGACTTTCCCGGGAAGAAGCTGAGAAGCCCTGGGAGCTGCTGACTATCATGAAAAGGTGACCTCTTGAAATTTGTGTCTCTAAGCTGTAATGATTTTTTGGCCTAGTCTGGGCTAGAGGTGAAAAAAGGGGTAACTGTTCCCATTCCCACCTACCCCCAGTCTGTCCACAGAAATCTATCGTATTTCCCTCCCCAGGGAGATCCATGCATCCCATCTTGAGCCCTTCTTGTTACTTAGCCTCTCTGGGTCTGTGGGTTGTAGCACAATACTTAACAGCCAATGTCCACTTATGAGTGAGTACATACCATGTGTGTCTTTCTGGGTCTGGGTTACCTCACTCAGGATGATTTTTTTCTAGTTCCATCCATTTGTCTGCAAATTTCATGCTCTTTTCTGAAGGGAAACAGAGGAGGAATGGATCTGGGGGAGAAGGGAGGTGAGAATGGGGAGGGATGGAGGGAGGGGAACTTCTGTTAGGATGTAATATATATGAAAGAAGGAGAAAGAGGGTGTGGGGGCTAACAGACGGGAGGGGAAATGCTGTGGAGGCAAGTTCACCAGCTGAGAGGGTTGTCAGGGCAGAGGCGGTTCACACCTCAGGAGGGAAGAACCACCCGATACCCAGTTCTGTCTGTTAGGATCTCTGCAGTTCAGAACTGACTAGTGCATACTCTGTAAAGGACATTGCTGGAGTTGCACCTAGACACCACATTGACAAGAAAGTGGCTTTAGCATGAAGAAGTCACCATGTCATACCTGTTCCAGCTCCTCCCTTTCAAGGGCCAAGCAAGCCCTGGGTCTGGCTGGACCCCGCTGACATCACCTCCTGTCTGTCTGGGGGGTGGGGCAGTTGCTGGGACACCTTCAGCCTATCATCTTATCCTCTACTTAATTTCTAGAGAGTGTGAATGATCTCATTGATTCCCTGGGTACAGCAGCAGGAACATCCCATACTTTGAATGGTTCCCACAAGGACCTCATTTGTCACAGTGTAGGCTTGGAACTGTGGGACCGGAGGATAGAGCACAGCAATCCCCAGACATGTTCCTCCAAGGGGGCAGACATCATTCCATCATTAATGGCGACCATTTTTCTCTTCCTAGCCAAAGCTGGCTCCCCAAGGAGGAGCATGTGCGGCAGCTCCTGTGTGTTGATCCCTGCTGCCACATCTGTGATGCTGCATCTCTAGAGATCCAGCAGCTGCTGCAGAGTGAGAGAACCCAGACCTCCCCTGCTTTGTCGGGACTGCCCCCGGGCTCTTCTTGCCTGGAGATGTTGCCCATATCCAGAGTATCTTTTGAGCAGAACATGGAGCTTCATCCCAGGCACTCCAGACGTCTTCCACTAGCTTCTGGGACTCCAATACTAGCACACCTGACAGAACACTTAACACAGTCGACCAGTGCAGTTGGTTTTCGACAATGCTATGCTGATCTCCTTCAAGTAGGAGAGGAATTTCATCGGACAGACATGCCCATGGTCTCTGAGACGGTGGCTTCTTCAGGGCTTAGGGAGCCTGTGGTTTTAATGACCGCAGGGGGGACAATGCACAACAATTTAAACTACATCCAGCAGAACCAAGACCACCAGTCTTTCAACTCACAGATCTCTTTTCAAACCCTGAACCCAGAGAGTACTCGCGCCATGCATCCTATGACCCTGTCTCTTGTTACCACGGTCTCCCAGCCGTTCCTCAGTCCTGATGTGCTAAGGCTTCTTGAGCTACATGTGAAAAAGTTGGTGCATTTCCAAAGATGGGGACTCCCCAGACGTGTAGAGGAGTCCCTAAGGCAACTTATACCAAACCCACCAATGTATTTCCAGCCTGAAAATAACCAGCCAGTTTCTTTTATCCTGAATACTACTTCTCGAAACTATGTTGACAGGTTTGGGAATATTTCCCACCAGACCTGGTGCTCATGTACAGACAGCCAACCTACCCAGACCTTTTGGGTTTCTGAGTGGTCTAATGTGGACCTGGAACAAAAAACACACTGTGAAGAAATCCCAAGCCCTGTGGGAAAGCCCTTATTCACTCCTGACCACAGTGTTCTACGTGGCATCTGTCTACTGCCTGAGGGACAAGCTAAGGACTCCAGGAACAATCTTCAGAAGAAATGCACTCAGTTATTCTGCGGCCTCCCTTCTATGCACAGTGAGTCCTTGGTTACTTCCTTCTTAGGCACTCAAGATCTCTCCAAGGACACACCCCAATCCTCCTACAAAGATCCAGATCTCTTGAAGGAGTCCCCACCCTTCCCCTTGCTGCCCCACACTCTACCGAAGGTAGCCCCTCCCTCTTCCTCAACTTCAAACGAGCCTTTGTATGAACATCAAGACGCTCAGCTCAGTGTGCCTTTTCTGACTCTGGCTGAGTGTAAAACCTTGGAATGGCACCTTCTACAAAGACAGCTTCAGATTCGGTGGGGTCTGCCAGGTGTCACCCCCAGATCTCCCTATGTGCAAAGCCACATACAATATAAGCCATGCAATAAAACAAAGCCACACGAGACTTTAAAAGCCTCCTGTCCAGGGAAGTCCTTCTCAGTCCTCACCAGAGACCTTTTCTTCATCCCAGATCATACACGCAGGCTGCTGGAATTCCACCTCCAGAAGCACCTGATTCACCTTCGCTGGGGCCTGCCCCAGAGGATCCAGCGCTCCATTCACTCGCTGCTCTCCTCTACCGACCAACAGTCCCGGTCCCGCAGCAGCAGGGCGCTACCCAATGTGAGCATCCCACCGCCAGGCCACCCAGAGGCTGATGGGTCTGGTGACATGTTTGCACTTGCAATGGACAGATTGTCAGTCCCCATGCCTCACTTCTTTGTCCAGGCAAAGGCAATGTTGAAGAGCCATGTTGATTCCAAATGTGATCAGATCCACCAGGGCAAGGTCCCTGCTTGTGTCCAAAGTTCCTGGGAATGCAGAACTCCCAGGATCTTAGCAGTAGGGACTCCCTTCTCCAAAATTTCACCAGGTCAGCCCCTGGAGCTACAGGCAGAAAATGACTCTGACTTACATCACAAAGTTGTTCCTCTGGAACCAGGGACCTTCGACCAGGAGAAGCAGGCTTCATCAGGTACTCTCATTGAACACTGTAGGCGGCCCCAAGCCCTGCCTGAGGAAACCATTAAGAAACTGGAGACAACTTTACGACATAAGTATCTGGCCTTCCTGTCAGGCCTGCCTGCCCTTTACTGTGTGACCCCCTCTAGAGCAGCATCCCCAGCGATTGTTAGCCACTCTGCGACCACAGAGATGCCGCCTGGACCTGTCAAAATCCCGCAGGAACAACCCCTAACTCAGATGATCCCACTTGAAGACCTATGTCGGAGCGGGCTTGAACCTTGTACTCGGGATGACAAAGCAGCTTCTGTGAACACTACAGGAAAGGTCCAGCCTGAAGGACAGGTGAAAAGAAGGACAGAGAAAGTGTCTCTAGACAGCCAGAGAGAGATCTTGGGGGAAACTGAATTTCCACCTGAAAAAAAAGGTCCTAGAGATAAAGTTGGGAATTCCTGTAACAGCTGATGACCTCAAAGAGTTAAATGCAGCAGGCCCAGAGAGTAAATCCATGCAGGAGCCTGTCAGGAGTCTAGGTATCCCAGAAGGCACCGAGCTCCAGAAACTGCCCGGCTCAGGTGACTCTCCTCCAGCCCCAGATACAAACAAGGTCCACCTTAAAAAACAGCCAGCCACTGCAGGGCAGCCTGTGTGCCACAAGCCAAGCCAACCTAGTTCCAGAACAGTGCCCCATGGTTCTGCCCAGTGGGGCTCCAAGGCCTCAAAACTCAGGAATAAGATGGAGTCCCAAGTGTACTGTATTCAGATGGAGACCAGTGGGGACGAGCCCAGCCTAGAGAAACCCTTTAGCACTGAGCCTCAAGGCAAGAGCAAGTCCTCAGCCCACGTCACCACGCTGACAGAAAAGAGTGAAGAGCCAGGGAAACCCAAGGCAGTGGGGGACCTTGGAGAGAGGGATGCAGATCTTGGGCTTTCCCCGACCAGGGAAAAAACACACCATGATGGAGATCAGGAGCCAGAAAAAGGGCCTCTGCACAGGACACCCCAAGGCTCCTCACAGCAGAGGCAGAGTTTTCATCTTGAGGATCCCTGTCTGCCCAGCCCCCAGGAGGCCCCTGACCTTGAGTTCCCAGAGCCACCTCCAAAAGTCTTCGTGGAGAGAGAGCCTGAACATGATATGCAAGACAGTCAAGCCAAGGTAAATGTCAGCCCAAAGCCTGCAAAGGTTGCTAAAGTCCCCCAGCCTGTGGCCTCCCAGGCTTCCCGGGGCCTTCCTTTCCCTCACCCACCAACTCAGGGAAAGCCTTTTGGGGGCCAAACTTGGCAAGACCACATTTCACGGGGGCAGGTGATACCAACTTCTCCTCATGCTAGCCCCAGCCTTCCAGAGGCTGGCTTGAAAACTAAGATGAAATCCTTTTTTCACGCTATTAACCCCAAGATAAAAGGCAAAACACATGTGGAACCCATAGTCTCAACACCTGGAAAAGCGGCCAAAACCAGTAAAGAAAATGTTGACAAGGGTCTGCCTCAAGCCAAAAGCCCCACCAAGAAAATTAAGACGGAGAATGTCAGAGGGCCCAAGGCCCAGTCTGTGTCCTCTGAGAAGTCAGTGATCACATGCTTCTTAACTGCTCCCCACATTTCAGACAGTAAGCTCCGGCCAGGCCTGCGACAGCTCCGCTCTGTCTCAGCACCAGGCCGGCCCCGACATTGTCCTCGGCACTGTCCTCTACTGGCTTATGCCATTCAATACAGAAACCCACCCTAGGTCCCCAGGTCCCCTCGGAAATGTTGTTCTGCCAATGGAGACCACTGCGCGTGACGGCAGCCTCTAGGCTCCCCCTCCTCTGTGTCCTTTAAAGAGCACAAGCATTGTCATTTTCTTTAGTGAACAGGTGGGGAGTGCACCCCCCAAAATATATTCTGTATCTGTGAACAGTCTGTCTTTCCTTGTCTCTGCTGTATATAATTAAGGGAAAGTATGAAGGAAGTGATGACATCCCCTCCACCGCCCCATCCAGGAGAGGAGAGTTAGCCCCAAATTCTCATGCTTGTTTTAGAGAAGAACCATTAGTGCACCTTTCTTCAAGGGATGCTTTTGAGTTTACCAAGGGCAAGTAGCTAAAAAGAAAACACACATAAGCATGTACGACAAATATCACAACTGAGTCACGGAATCTCCTTGTTCACCCCATTGGTGTTGGGAATGTCTTCGAGAACCCATCTAGAAGCTTGCTTCAGCCCCTTTTTCCTGGTTCTCATGCTTCGGCTGTGTGGCCTAGGTGCCTGGATCCAGGGAAGGCGGTGGGGTGGTGGTGGTGGTTGAGGGTGTGATGGGGGTGGTTGGGGGTGGAGGTGGGTGTGGGTGGTGGTGGTGGTGTGGGGGTGGTGGGGGAGTGGGGTAGGGATTATGGGGGGATGGTGGTGTGGGTGTGTGGGGGGTTCACGGGGGTGGGGGTGAGAGGGTGTGGGGGAGGGTGTGCACATAGAGGGAGCTCTTATACTTGGGACAAGGCCCCTGTGTTCCTGATTGGCACATAAGGAGCAAAAGGTCATTTTTCTTAGCACTAAAATAAGCCTAAGTAGGAGGCTAGCCCAAGGCCTAACTGTGGGCGACAGGAGTGAGGCCACTGTAAGCTGCTTGTGTGATAAAGGAGTGAATGGAGCTTTAAAGTTTCTCGGCAAAGATCCACAGCACTAGAAATTATGTAAACATATTTGAGACCATTAAGGCTGACAGCTTGAACCGAGCCATACTCCCACGTTCTGTTTATACCACACGCACCTCAGTCTTAGCCCACCCTCTCTTCTGCTACCCTTACTCTCCCAGTATACTTTCATTTTATTTTTATTTTATGTGTATAGGTGTTTTTTCTGCATGTGTGTCTCTGCATTACCTGCATGCATGGGCCCAAACGGGCATCAGATCCTGCAGAAGGCACAGCTGATAGATTCTGCAGTGGTCAGGAATCAGGATGTCCACCTGAGATTTGTCTTTCAAGTATGCTCAGATTGTTCACACAATCATTGCTTACAATGTCATGCTACTGTAAAGGTTAGACAGACATCTCCCTGAGTGGGAACAGCTGGGCAGACAACACGGCTCTGGGTTCCACCCGGGGATCTTCTCCAGTTAGGATGCTCGTGTTTGGTTTGGTTCTGGTTTTTTTTGTTGTTGTTGTTGTTTGGTTTTTATTGGAGTTTTGTTTTTCTCTGTGTAGCCCTGGCTGTCCCAGAACTCGATCTGTAGCCCAGGCTGGCCTCAAACTCACAGAGATCTGCTTGCCTCTGCCTCCCGAGTAATGGGATTAAAGGTGTGCGCCGCCGCCGCCGCCGCCGCCGCCGCCGCCGCCGCCGCTGCCGCCGCCGCCGCCACCGCCGCCACCACCACCTGGCTTCCAGTTTAGGATGCTTTGGGAGCTTGGTGGCTCAACCCATGCCCACCATGAAGTCCTTCAGCTGTGGCAGGCCAGGAAGATGGCACTTGTGGAAGTTCCAGAAGGTCCTTGAGAGCTTTCAGCTAGATATTTGTGCCTGTTAGCATACCAAAGCACATGCTGGCCTCCAAGCTCCCTGAGTATCACAAGTACCTGCTGTACACTTCAGAGTGTAGCTAACATCTTAGCTCTCCTCACCTCCCCGATTCTTCCCTAAACTTCCCCAGCTCATGGTCTTCCTTCCCCTCAGCTACTCATTCTTATACCTCGCTCTTCTAGTCTGTGGGCCGTGTTCAGTCTACTGCTTTCTCTCTCTGCTCTGGACTTTTCTTGATGCCTCTAGCTGTTCTCTCTCTCTCTCTCTCTCTCTCTCTCTCTCTCTCTCTCTCTCTCTCTCTCTCTCTCTCTCTCTCATATCTACAATAAAAAAAACCCTTCCCCTTAACCAAACCATGGAGCGGTCATGCCATCAGTTTATACATGGATCAAACTTCTGGCCCCTTTGCTGTTTTTGCTGGTATTGTTCATTACTTGGCTGTTTGGGGGACATCTGTTTATTACAAATGAAAATATTAGGTTTGTTTTTCTGTAATCCTTCTAAGGAAATGGAGAAAATAAAGAGGCTGAAAGGCAAGCTGAGAGAGACTGTAAGCAGAATCTGAAATGTAAGCTCCAAACTACGCCTTATCTACGTTCCCCCTTACAGACTAAATGAAGTCTCTCCTAGAGGCCTGAGGGCTTCTCAAAGAGCTTGCTCTACTGAGACATTTCTAGAAGGCTTTCCTGTTACTTGTTTAGCTCAACCAGCTTGTATTCCATGCTCATCTCTATTGAGGGGTATCCACCAGAGAAGACTTCTTAGACATGGGTGTAAGCCAATAGAGGTCTTTATTAGCTGGCCAGTGACTAGACCGGGTGTTCAGGATCCCAGTGCAGTCCCAAGCCTTCCTCAGGGTGAGTTTTCAAGCGCCCAATATATCCTGGGTTGACATACTTCAGTTAACAAGAACAGTTAGCCAGAAGCAGGGCTACAGAAGCCAAAAAAACAAGGTTAGTACGTTCAGAGACTTTCCCGGAACTTTGGACTGTGAGGGATCAGTACTTTGTTTTAGTTTTGGCAGGTGGAGCTGTCCATGTGCCGTGTTTTACGGCCTGAACGGCACCTCCATGGTGGTGTTGCTTATGCTAAGGTCTGGGGGGCCCATTACAATCCCATCCCTGTCAACGAGTGGGTGATTGACCACCAAAGGCAGCCTCGGTGGCCCTGGACACAAAAACCCTCTTCACGTTATCCTCGAATTCCCCAAACCTATGAGGAAGGAAGGTTGTTTTCCTCTAATTACTCAGACTGGGCCAAGGATTGGTCTCCCTGGGAGAAGACTGGAAACTCGAACTTGTTGAGAAAGCCTGGGCACAACAGTGTAGCTCACGGCTGTGCTTGCGTCATAAAATCAAAGATTTGAATTGGAAAGAAACTTTGAAGTGGCCAGAGAATAACTTTAAGATGACAAATATGAACGTGAGTGTGTGTGTGTGTGTGTGTGTGTGTGTGTGTGTGTGTGTGTGTGCAACACAGGAAGACGTTCCAAAAGTCTTAGTGTTTTTATTCGTTTGTTTGTTTGTTTGTTTTTTTGAGAATTCTGACGTCAGATGTCTGACCCCTGGGGGAAAGATTCAGATTAAGGTCAAAGCGACGAGAACGGAATGTGGGAAACAATCCTCAGCTCTGACCAGTTAACATTACTAAGCCCCAGTGTCTCTGTGGGTGGGGAAGGAGAACTAGGCACGTATATCCAAAGCCTCAACTGTTGTTAACATAATAAATCATTAAAATATTAATAAAGATGATTCTCAAAGCCATTTCTCTGGCCTGGTATTTCATATGAGCTTTAAATCATACAGATGGATTAACAAAACAAAACAAAACAGCCACAACTCTATCTTCCTCCAGAGATAATGTGTATTGATTAAAAGTTTTCCAAACACCCTCTTCCTTATTAGACAGCGGGACGGTCACTGGACTCCAATCCCGGTCATTCTCACATCCCCCCTCTGACTGTCCTTGAAGTTCATTTTCTGTCCTTCACTTGCCTTGGAAACTTATTAATGTCTTGAGTACCTAGAACACAGTGGCTAGTATCAGTAATAGATGAATCTAGGGTCTGCGCTGCCAGGCTGACAAGCACTGTGTCCGTCTATCCATCTGATGAGCCCTATGGGGAGTGCAGTCAGGACACAGAAGGAAGTACTCAACTGATGACGAGAACTCCAGATCATCGGATCAGCTTTCATTTGATAACGATTTGAATATGTTACGATGTGTCCGCCACTACGACAAATACCCAGACCTGCTACAGTGTACTTAGTTCCTGATTTCATGCTGCCCAGGCTTGCTCTCTAGTGCTGTGATGAAGCCCACGATCAAAAGCAACCTGGGGAGGGAAGTTCTTGGTTTAGTTTTCCTTACATATCCCGATCACCGTCAGTCACTGAGGGAAGCCAAGGCAGAAGGGTGCAGGTAGGAACTCAAGCATTGACCATGAAGGGATGCTGCTTACTGGCTTTGTCCTCGTGGCTTGCTGCGACTGATGCTCACACGTTGAGCGATCATCAATCAAGAAAATGCTCCCCACCCCCAGACTTGCCTACCAGCCAATCTGATGAAGGTTTTTTCTCACTTGAGGTTCCCTCTTCCCAGATGACTCCAGCTTGTGTCAAGTTGACAAAAGCCAACCACCACGCAGGTGATAGACACACATCCAAATTGTCTAATCAATGTATACACTTAAAAGACTGATAGCTCAAACTGTGCAAAAATAAAATTCTGGACCCTTGACCCAAACCTATACACGAATACCATATCTGCTCCAAAATCGAGTAGTATTTTATCAGCTAATGGTAGCTCCATCTTTCCAGTTATTTAGACCGTGAACAGTGGTGCCCTCTTTCACTTTTCCCCTCTAACAGAGCACATCCAATCTGTCAGTAAATCCTGTTGTACTTTCCCTCAGAATTCTATCCCGACTATGGCTAGATGTCATGACCTCTACTGCTTTCATTACTGTGGTACTATCGTAACTAGTCTCTGATTTACCCTGACACTGTCACCAACAGCCTGATTTAACACAGAATCAGTTCTGACTACCTGAAATAGACAGCCTTGGTACCAGATGTGGTGGTTTGAAAGATGGCCCCCATAGGCCCATAGAGAGTGGCACTATTAAGAGGTGTGGCCATGGGGTTGGAGAGATGGCTCAGAGGTTAAGAGCACTGGCTGCTCTTCCAGAGGTCCTGAGTTCAATTCCCAGCAACCACATGGTGCCTCACAACC